AATTCAATCTCCAGGCACCGCTCGGTTCCTACTTCGAAACATTTTTACAGCTTAAAAGTAGGCTTTGCTTTGACTCTCTAATGCAAAGAAGGCAATCCATCCAGGAGTAAACCATCCTCATTAATAGACCAATTGCAACACGACGGATTTAAGAAATACCTTCATTTGCATATGGGAAGTCTGACAACCGACCTGCAGTTAATTTCTTAGTCTTCCAAAATGTTGGAAGAGTTTTTCCAAACGTACAATAATGTAGCCATGGAGAACTAAGTTTTCTTTGTAATGCTACGGTGATTTTTGTCATAGTTTTGGAGGCAGTAAGTTTCGTATGCAGGCCTTTATCTCATAGAACAAAGTTTAAGCAAGAGACTATAAATAAGATAAGCAGTAGACGAAATTTCGTTCCTGGATTCGTCACGTTTGCTGTGTTGTCGCAGTGCACCTTTTATCTCTGCAAACATTCATCGAACTCCAAATCTTGTAATATGTTTGGCTTCCTGCAGGCTGCCAGAATATTCCGAAGAAGCCAATTTCAGTGAAGGACAAATACCTGCTAGATATTTATAAATTCTAAAGCGATCTCTTCTTGTTTGGTAGATGCTGTCATCTAGTCAACATAGGCTTCAGGAAAGGGAGCAACAATAAGCTCTTCGATTCTGACCATAAGCAGCCATCTCTTTTTTAGGAAGTATGGAGGGTGGACTTAAATCACTTTTTTTCATTGACAGTCAGATCTATTTTAAGTCGTCCATTCGTTACTCACAGATTGAACAGACAAATGATATCCACCGTTTCACAGAGCTCAGAATATAAATATGAACTGGCATAAGATACGGTACATAAAATGTCAGACAATATCTTCCATTAGCATTATGATTGTGATGACCCTTTGGTCATTTCTCATGTTTTTGACTGCTTAACAATTTTATAGGCATTATCATCTGTATTCCGATATACAACGTGTGCGGTGTCACTATGTCGAAAAATCTTAGTGCACTGACTCGTAAGGTGTGTGACTCTGCGTGTACAATCGTTATCTGGGTTGTATCAATTGGACTCGGATGGCAAAAATTTGCCTATCTGCAGGTATCTGGTTTCCCTAGTATTCAGTCAGGTAACAAAATTAATTTCAACAGGTGATTTCTAATATTTCTTATTGATTATGTAAATAATCACTTCGATTCTTAGTTGAACATAGTATGCTGCTTATCATTAGAATTATGGCACCGCTCAAATGTTTGGCGTTATTTGACTACTGGGCGCTGTCAGTATTCAGATGAGAGTCAATACATTGCAAAACGAAGCGTTTTTGGTCTATGTTTAGACCTACGGTTGTTATTTGGCGCGATCAAGCAGTATTCAGCAGTAAGATAGATCAAGCACTTGCCTCATTCCATGTCATTCATGTTTTC